CCCACATGGAAAGACGTCAGGAAAAATTTGAGAACGGACAGCATCCTATCTTCTGCTGTCAGACCATCAGGGATACTGATAAAGAACAAGAACAATAATATTTACTCACAACGCAGTGACAACTACTCGTTTATGATGTATGTCACTAAAAGAAGCTGAAGGTAAGCATCGGGTAATGATCGGCAGTTCACGAAGTGATTCCGAAAACAGTACGGACTGTGTTACTAAAAACTCCACAGTGATGAAATAATAATATTTACTCACRATGCAGAGACAACTAYTCGTTTTTGATGAGTGCCAAAAAAGAAGYCGGGTAAGCATCGGGTAATGATCGGTAGTTCACGAAGTGATTCCGAAAACARTACGGACTGTGTTACTAAAACCTTCACAGTGATTTTCCGTCACACGAYGGGAGTAGCCACAAAAATCACAACCTTACCTAATAAACAGGTCTGGGTGAGCAAAGAAGTCAGCGTACATCTCGAGTAACGATCGGGGTTCTAAGATAAATGTAGGAAGAACCACCTGAAAAATAGACAATAATATTCATCAAAGTCAAAATAGTCTTCTTCACGGTTCCCTGCGCCATCTTGAAAGGTAGCCGTGCCTTTGCACCTAAGAGAAACGACAATTGAGCGTGCAATGATAGAAACCTTCTTTCACACTTACATTTATTCATAGGTATCTATCATTGCACGCTCAACGGTCGTCTCGCTTCGATGTAGGCACGACTACCTTTCAAGATGGCGCAGGGAACCGTGAAGAAGACTATTGACTTGATTCGACTTGACGCGCGCGAGTTGATTGTGCTCGTATCACGATATGTAGAAGGATTTCGACCCTTGGTTCAAACCGGCGTTTGTGCAGTCTGAATGCACCTAGCCCTAGAGTCACATGCACGGTACGATTTTGTGTGGTGTACGAAAGTTATTAGCGATAAGAAACGCGGTCAGAACGATCCAAAATGAGCAAATATCAGGTCATAACATTTGATTTCTTTATATCAACAAATGAAGCAAAGCCCTTAATGGAGTCAGCAAAATTTAAGCCTTGAAAAATCATACCTTGGTTAGGTCCATGCCTAGTTTCAGCTGTGACATCAAATGTAACACAACACTTTTATGCTCTTCTACACTTTGGTTCTCAGGCTCCTCTCCTGTACTGTAAACCTGCTTATCAGGCTCCTCGTCACTTTTTGGCGCGTTGACTGGTAACGAAAAAAAGAAGCAGCGATTATATTTTAAGAGAAAAGTCAGAGAACAACATATACGACGCATGCTCATTGTAAATCTTAAATCTTAACTCCCACAATTCCAACTATAATCGTTGCCAAAATACCTTGGACCGTACAATTATAATTTGTCTCCAGCCTAACATTTTTCTCCTTTATTTTTTCACAGTTTTCCCCCTTAGCTCCCTTTCATCAATGTTGGGTCTTGTTTTGGATGCTTGTGTATTATGGTAACATGCTCAATGACAACATTGCATTTAGGGGGTCAGGGGGATGAAATTGTCTGCGGGTGTTGCTTAAAATGAGGAAATTCACTGGAATGCTCCAAGGATTTTGTCAAAGATTGTAGTCCCCTAAAATATATTGTCAGTTGCGGTCTGGGTTCTAGGTCAACTAAGTACCTAGTGATTCATCCAAAGTCTGAAGAGCTTTGTCACAGCAATCCATGTCAGTMTCGTTTGGATTCTTTGTCGCAGTCTTCTCAGCGTTCCGTTGTGACCGTGGGGTCCCTGGGTTACGGTGAGATCTGAAATGTCTCATATCGGGACTTGGATGGCTGGGAATAGGGTCTGTTGGGCTGTGAAAATGAACGATTGATAGGTTGAGCGAATAAATGAATACAATTAACGTATATAGAGGATATTACATGGGCGCGCGGAGATACGGATTTTATCTTCGAGTGTTGAAAAGATCTCTCACGAGTGATAGTAGCGAGCGAGTGAGAGATTTTCAACACGASAAGATAAAATTCGTATCTCCAAGCGACCATGTAATATTCTGTTTATCATATAATTACATATGAAAGCAAATTATGTCGAGTAAAATATTTTTTTTCTTGCTTTTACTATATAGAGAAACCTCAAATGTGTTATTTTCACTAGTGAAAATATCAATTTTACGAAATGGAAAAATATAGGTATTTCATAGATAATTATATGTTAAAAATTAATAATGTATGAATAAGATATAAATAAAGCAATGATAATTCGAAGCAGATATAAAAATTTCATATATTAAAATCAAGAATAAATTTAATAAACGAAATATCTTAAATATAAGTACATAACAAATACTCATTAATTCTAATAATAAACAAAACAAAAACCAAATCAGAATTATCAAAGAAATATAGGAAAGGCAGTCCTGAAGATTAATAGTCGCTCGAAAACCCTTAAACTAACATCGCCTTTGTCATTATTTGTGAAAAAACTAAATATAATATAACTATACAATTTAGCTAATATAATGTTAAAGGGACACTGTCAATGGATGACATGCGCGAGTAAACTTGAAAACACTAGGCTAGTGTTTTCAAGTTTATGACTCCAAGTTGGCGCGACATAAATCAGATCGTAAACGTAAACAGATCTAGAATATTCCAAAGTGTGTCAAAAGCACCACAAAATGATTTACCTCGAAGGTTATACTTTCRAAGTCCGTTAGAGGTGAGACTGTTACTGCGCATGTCATCCATTGACAGTGTCCCTTTAATGAAATGCTATATCTTTATTATCCAAAAATATATTAAAATAGAAAAATGCGTTAACTATGTTTACAATAACTAAGATTTTAATTAATCAAGATTACTACAATTAAATTCGTGCAATAATCATGTATTTTAGGGTATATTTGATTTCAATCTATAAAAAAAGAAAGAAATATGGCATTTACTAAGAAAACAAATTTTTAAACCAAATTAAAATTAACAATCAATTTTTAGTTTTAGAAATGAATGACGTACTTCCTTAAGCAAAAATCTAAACGATTGGAAATATTCAAAAGYAAATTATAAATTTATCAAGCAATGTCGCTACTAGACTCATAAACAACCACTTCAAAAAACTCCATAACTTAAAAGATAAAAAGCTTGACCACAAACATTAAATTAACGTTGCCTCGAACTCCAAAATTCCGCGAAACATTCCTACACAAATATACTCCTACGCTCTAGTAAGCATAYGGTGTCAATAATAGCCAATTTTGCTATGAAAAACCCGTGTCAAGRCGACCAAACTTTGTGYTTTGATTTTTGGGGGCGTGCAAAGAGAATTGGAGGCAWGAATGGAGTTTTTTGAGAAATTGTTCAATAATTAATAGTTCACAATATGAGAGGCATGAGTTGTAACACAAGACAAGTAAACAACACTATGCCCATTTGAAATTAATTGMCACTTGATAAAAATTCAAAATTTCGAAAAAGAAAAGCTTGGACGTGAAAATTCTTGCAAACTGCCGGCACGAAATCTAAGACCGATCCCTTTTGAATGTATTTTCKGCATATATGTACCTCAAATTCGTAGCTAGTAGATTTAATTTCGCCTTTTATGTAGTAGCGGAATACTAGCTGTATTAGAATATAGTCTCACCTTTTCGGGGAAGTTTCGCTATATTTCCTGTCCGAATTTGAAGATAATTTCGTCGTTTTGAAACGAACTTTCAGAGGTTGAAAGCGATTCAAATTCCGTGCAAGAGCAGGCTTAGATTTTCGAGTGGTAGCTATTTCATTCACGATGTGTTTGAACACGGCAGTCAAGTATTAAATTATGCATAAAGTTTACAGATTGAGTTTGAACCGAGCGAAAATTCGTCAATGACGTCACAGCTATTATMTCATTGTGACGTCATGAATAAAAAAACCCGTTTCTCGCGCAGTGGCCATATTGTGTTAAACAATACAATRATATTCAAGTAAGTTTTCGCCAAAAAAGCATATGTACTGGCTACTACTTGTCAATAAAATGTGTGAATTAATTTACGTTGAAAAGTTTTAGCTCCGGTTTTTTGTTTATAATTGCCCAAAGGTCCATAGAATTTAATATTTTATATGTATTGTGAAACATTCTAGTAAATTGTTTGTTAAATTTAGCAAAATATAGCCMAAATTGATAATTAAAATAAAGCAATTTGACTCAAACCTCAAACATATAAGGCCGATTTCAAAGGCAAATTGAACGGAGGGGAAGACGAGGAAGAAAGGAGATCGGAAGTTTTTCATTTCTGGAGTCTCATTTTCCTCTTTCCTTTGCGGGATTCTTGTTGTGCGAATGTCGATTTGGCAAGTGGAGAAGAAGAAGAGATAGCAAACCAATCGGTAGACGTCGTGAAGTCGGCTTCCTTCTAAATTCCTTGATAATCTTCACAAAGGGACGCACTTTTCTTTCTTCTGCGTTTTGATTCTTTAGTAAACATAGGTCTACAGTTCGCCGTAACGATTTAYTTGCTCAGAAAGGGAGAAAATTGCTTTCTACGTATGACATTAATACCAATAGCACGCATAAACAGCAATTTTGGRTATYATTTGTTTATAACTAAAAAGCCATTCAAGGTAGCTGTATTGTCTATTTGTCTAAGYTTTTTTTATGAAACCTGARTTTGTATAACACATCATGGCTTCGCCTTAACACGTCCCAAAAACATTTGAAACGAAGACGAATTCTCGTATGAGAAAATCAGGATTCACAGCACATAACTGCACTCTGTTTCACGAGAACTAAAATGACGTTATTTCACTATATTTTTTACTCTGTTTGGTCCAAAATCCAAACAAATACTTTTAATTTAGTTCTCTTCCTTGACTCTRTAAGTTTTAATTTCAGCTCCGTAAGTTCTTCGCCTTAGGCCAAAAACACGCTTTCAGRAGTGCAAGCGGATCGGAACTAGTTTACAAGATCCTAAAAAACAAGASTGCGTAGAAATTYAAGAGGAACTGTTKTCAYTTTTTCTTATTTTTCGGTCGATTTTGTTGACAATTTTCACTTYTTTTCCTTTTCAAACGCAASGACACTGGAGTCTCTAAAGATAACATTTCYAAGCCCTATAGAAATGTTTAAGACGATCGGCGCTTATCAAATGGTAAATTAATTATGGTGTCTACTAGAAGGAACACTTCAACTAAAAATGACATTCGCTAACAAAGAGTTGTATATCAATATTTAATAAGCTTTGTCTTGTTATTCTCGGCTTGACTGAACCTGATAGAGTACAGTGGACACTGTACATCCGTGAAACAGAAATATTAAGGAATAAAGACTTTACTAAATAGTAATTARCATAATTTATAGTTTTATTTTTGTTTCACGGTTTAAGTGGAGTTTACTATAGCTCGGCTTCGGAATCACTAATTATCAACATTTTTATTATTATTATTATTATYACTAGAATAAATATTTTCATTTCAATATTTCAATTTTTAATCATGATAATGATGATTATGATGATGAAGATGATGATAATGGTGATGATAGACTAAGTCATGATTATATAATAATTACCGTTACAGTTTCAAAAATTATTTAACGTGTTATCATGAAGAGTTTAACTGATGAAGTCGTTACATTTAATCCGAAAAACACCGAAAAGTACGTCATATTGCTGTTGTAGCAAAGAAATCCAGCCAAAATAAGATAAACTATAAGATTACTATGTTATAACAGAAAAGTGTAACAACAACGTCTGCATTCTAGTTCACAACCAATACAACTCAACTCACCTTGAATTCTGCTGGTCTTGAGGCTGTAAAGTTATCGCTGAAACCAAAAAAATATTTAGTTATCACAAAAAAACTGCATTCAGGCATAAAATTCGACCAGAACTAGATATTCTCTTGTAAGGAAGACTTCCTCAAATTCCAAACAACTTTTTTACCTAATGTGAAAATCAAACCAACACATAWAATGTCTAAATTAAAGTTAAGTTGCGAAAGACAGAAGACAGAATGGTTAAACGGCACAATCATTCACATAGAAATTAAATTAGAAATCCTTTATGACGCAATGAATCCAGCGCGCGCAAAGCACGATATTTGCAMACCCGACTTCATTACGACTTCTGACGAACAAATATTGATTGTCTTACGGAGTTTTTCTAYGYGACGAGAGACGGAGTATTTCATCTCGAATCACCTCGAACTGGAAGTAATTTCGATGACTTGAAACCCCGTACAGTCTTCATTATTTCTTAGTACAAATTCGAACTCAAAGCATAAAGTGCTTCCGGAGCCCAGTTCGAAGCCAAAACAAAACTTGAAACGAAGTCATTTCACTGCCAAACACATGACAAAAAATAAGGCAAATAAACTATAGATGGATATAGTGTAAAATAAACTAGCACAAAGTAGAAAGGAAGATTTCGGTCCAAATCACAATGATAGCAGAGGACGATTAAGATTAGGATTCTAGTACTAACTTTGAATGRAAGACTACTGCAGTTCTGTAGCGATATGGGATAAAAACCTTATGAGTGCCCGCAACACGCTGCGATAGAGATCTTTATTGCTACAACTCCACGGGCTGAACTCCAGGCGTCTTGATTTAAAGTATCCTGCGGTCTTTGTGGTTCGTTAGGCTTGGAAATTTGGACATTTTACACTCAAATAGGTTAGACTAATACTGGGCGATAAGGAAATACAAAATCTGATTCCAACTGTTGATATCAGGCCATGGTGAAACCTCGATAAATATTTTTAGATGTACTGAAACGATGAAAAGCCTCTGGCTGTGGGCTCGCTTCAAGTAATATTCAAATAATTACGTTTTGTGTTTTTCGTTGCCAAAAATATGTTTGTATGCCATTTTTGGTAAAGAAATGAAAGCTCAGACGGTTTTAAAATCTTTAATTTGTAAAATTTTACATTCGAATATACGAGGGAAAAAAAGAAAATCCGGAAGAAAATCCGGAAGAACTTGCACTCTTAATTGATATTGTTTTCCCRTAGACATTAAACTTCACACTTAAATTATACACTTTGACCATTAAACTTTGTTTCACGGTTTTTGAAAACCACTTTTAAGTTGTTTTTCATAATAACAAATTAATTGTGTAGGACTTACTCTTAACAACCACGTTATTTACAAAATGCAGGTTCTTTTTGTAAGATATAAGTCACGGTTTTACAAAGTGCATAGCTTTTCTCATGTTTGAGCATTTTATGTAACTAAACCACCGTGTAAGGTATTACAGTTTTATATTGACATTGTATATTTCGTTAGTTATTTTGTTACAATGCAAGCATTGATCTTATAATAATACAAATTGTTGGATTCAGTTTTTGTGATACTGTCAATAATGAAGGTTTTAAGACTCGGGACGCGCGGTGAATACACTTTTGCCTCTATTTCGGYTATCCGACGAGAAAATCTTATCTTGTGATTATCAACTGRCAACTAAAATACTTTAAAAATTGKCATTATTGTTTTTGAAATCGCTTCTAACGCTTATTTCAAATATCATTAGCATTTTTGGAAATAATGTACCAGTCTAAGCGTCGATAAATTACTTTTTTTTGAATATTTTGTAATAATTCGCTAACAAATTAGGCTCTGTCCATGTTCAAATAGCATTGTGTAAACTGTCGCTATTGAAAGCACAAATGGAGCAAAGAAAAACGAGTCACTCTGGTGTAGTACTTTGCAATGATTCGAATTTCAGACCATTTCGAATTTAGTGAGTTATGTAATATCTGATTCAATATGAATGTTTTAAAATCAGTTTTTCAGTTTTTCCTTTAATCATTTCCTCAAATATTAGAGTAACTCTTAAATTTTATGAGAAATTACGAGTTTTCTAATATTTTTCAAGCCATACATTTCAATTTGTTTATTTTAACGGAGCAATTCATCATTCTGTTWAAAAAAATTATTTGAGCTTAATGTAAATAAAAAATACCTATAAACCACTAAAAGTTACGCTTMATTATTCGAGGTACATTCGTCTCTTGCGATTTGACGTATTAAATTCTATATCAAGTAAAAAATAAACCTAAAAATAGAAAGACGACATGAATTATTTCACTCGATTGAACGAGAGCTTGACCTAAAGCGAAACACAAGGAAATAAAAAATAATATACATTGCTTTTTTGTGTGTGAAAGTTGAAAGCTTACTTCTTTTTTTCTGATGAAAAGTCCACCAGAGGAAAATGGAATTTTACTGCAGTTTCTGATAACTCGAAGTCGAATTTAAAGCGAAGGCTGAAGGAAATTATAATAAAAAAATGGTTTCACAAACTGTTAAACCTTTAATAACAGTGAAATTTCATCACCTCTAAGTCCAAAACAAACTAAAGGACGTAATTGTAAATATAGAAAGCTTTTAATAATATGAAAGGACTGAATTCACTAAAAATCTTACCATTTCCAACTTGAACGCTGAATTATTCCTTAAAAGAAATTCAATAAACGTAGAAGTYCCCCTCGGGAATTCCTCTTTCTTTYAAAGTCCTTGAAAACGTCTTTTACATTTTTATTATTGGCAAAATTCCACGGAAAACAYTTCTTTTTGTCTCGGCAGGTAGCGCGCAATTATAATTTAAAATTTACGTAAGCGAAAAGGTTTACTTTATGTTAATTCAAAACACGATAGATTTTAGCATTTGCATAGTATATTAATGGCAATAAATTGTCAAGTATTGAATGTCTCGTCTTCTGTGTAGAGGTACTAATTGTTAAGTTACAAACAATAGAGGGAACTGAACTACAAAGAGACGGATTAAAGGATTTAAATTTTTGAAACAGTATTCATTTGCGATGTTAAATAACGAGTAAAACTGTCACATTAGCTATTTTCATTACACAATTTTTTTTAGGTTCAGTAAAAAAATGCTAAAAAAAACTTTAAATTTTTGATAATACTAATAATCTAAAAATAATTTATTATTGAATTCAATATATATAATTTTCTTCTAAAAAACTTTTAACTGAGAAAATCATTTTTTTTTCTTTCATGCATTTCTTTTTTTTCAGTCTTTTTTAAAAACTGTGCCACAGGAACCCCCAAAACACTTAGTGCACATTTAATCAAAGAACTCCACAGGCAGCCCAACTGTCATTCCACACAATAGACCTCTTGTCCTAATTCGCAATCTGAGAAACAAAAAAACTGGTATGAGAAAAACCAATCGTTTTTATATAATTTTTCTGAGTAATTTGGTGAGGAATTAGTACAAGAGGCCTAATGTTCCATTCTATTCTTACTTTTCACTCTTCTCCCAGCATTTCAGTCAATGAACATTTTTTTTGGAAACCACAATTTTCAAATATCTTAAATTTAGTTGTATATTGCAGATTTGTACTTCAGATAAAAGATATACAAAGGCAATGCTTAAAGGCAGATCTGAAAAATGGTGGACTAATTTTTTTCATCTGCAGACAATTTTTTTATATTCCTAAATGCGAGGAGCCAGCAAGTCTAGATTAGAGTAATTTTCATTCATCTGTGGAATAGGAATTGCACTATTAAATACTATTATATCCCGTATTAGCTCCCAATAGTTTAACTTATGACATACAACAAACAAGTTAGGCAAAAACGGTTTTGATTTTGCCTTTCGGTAGCCTACTACTCCCTAATAGTTACTATTTAAAGACTTGAGGTAGTAATTATTTCACAGACGATTAAAATGACTCTATATATAATTATACAAAATACCATATAATACATTGCCCACATGTTCTATGGTCTATTCATAATGAAATTTGCATTTAGAACTAAAATATTGAAACAAAGATAATTTTATACAAACTTTATTGTATTTAAAGACATGTCTGCTTAATTCAATTCAAATTGTCACCCACCTGTTGAAGTTTCCTCATTCTGAACCTCAGCTACCTAAAACAATACAAAAATCTTGTAAAAGGAACTCAAATTGTTTGACTGCAAACAGGATTTCTGTCATTAGATTTCTATTCCTTTTTCAAAAAACCAACTGTCAATTCTACTGAGCAATTAAGTGATCTTCTTCACAGTTCCCTGCATCATCTTGGAAGGTACATGTAGCCGTACCTTTGCATCATAGCGAGACAACTGTTGAGCGTGTAATGATAGAAACCTTCTTTCATACCTACAGACAATTATTCACAGGTTTCTATCATTGCACACTCAACAGTTGTCTCGCTTCAATGTAAAGGCGCAGCAACCTTTCAAGATGGTGCAGGGAACCGTGAAAGGAGATGACTAAGTTATTGAGGAGTCTCATAACATTTCAAAGTAAAATATCCTGCTTTTTTCAAGAAATTGCAAAACTATCATGCCTTTTTTTAAAAGTATGTCTACCATTGAAAGAACTAGACTTGATTTGTGCATGAATTACCAAAGTGGAAATCAAAGGTGGGCGACCTGTTGTTGTTGTTGTTGCTGTTGTTTTGGTTTGGTATTTGTGAAAAATCTAAACAAAATGGTGGATTTATAGATCTCAAGATTTTAAATTGCCTGGGGTTGACAGCCCTGTTTCAGTGAACAGTTTACACTATGTTCTTTAAAGTGTGCTTTATTAGCAAGAGTTAGTTTTATTTGAAGTTCTTCTTATCATTATCCTAATTGCATTATTTCATTCCAGTTACATGCACATTATAACAATGATTGTTGATGAAGCGTGCAGGTCATGCATGTGCATGTAGGGGCTCGTATTTGATAGTCAAGCTTTTAAGTTTGTTGTTCAGTCAGTCAGGTGTAATCCAGTCAATCATCCAGTTAATGTTGTCATGTGGTTTGTCTGAGAGTTGACTGGTTGGTGTAGTCGGTGAATGCAGATTAGGTCGTGTGTTTGAGGTTTGTTCAGCCATGTTATTCTGAGCTTCCTGAACCTAGGTTCATAAGTAAAGATCTTTTATGTATATCACAATTTATTGTACAGCAAATTCAGAAAACATTAAATGATAGAAGATAACACATTCCAAGACAAAAATACATTATTAGAATTCTAAACCTATTCAAAAGCAGGAGTCTTCGCGATTTAAGAATAACTATTCAAGCTCCATGGAGTCAAGAACTTCAATGGAAAGCAATTAAGTTTAGTATTTTGTTCATTTTGTTACTCAAATAAAGTGGTTTTGGAATGCACTCTGCAGTATGGAGTATTCAGTATTCAATGTTTTCTGGAATGCTGTGTATGAAAGAAAAAAAAAAAATTCTGTTTCTCACTATGAATCTGTTTACTGTATGTAATATTCTTGCTTACCCTTCTTTGTAAGATTGAGAAGCAATGATGTAGTGAATTTAATGTTGACTGTGAAGAAAAACAGACATGAAATAAATATTACATGTTTGTACAGTTGGTACTTTAGTTCAACAACAACAAAGTGCCATAGTGTAGTGTACATGTAAATATCATTAATTACTCTTTCATTGTTTAAGTCTTAGAAGAAACTTAAGACTATTTATTTGAAAATTTTTTGGATAGCTAGTTATATGATAGAGATATTACACCTTATATTGTAAGAGCGATAAGCCAGCAGAATGTTCATAAAACGTTTATCATTAATTTATTACTATTTTACTAACCTGAGACGTAGCTTTTAAAACAAGGACATGCTGAGAATTGGACAGAATTTTCAGTTAATTTTAATATACAAGAGATTAAGATAAAAAAAATACACACCATACTAGAGATACTGTATAGCCCAACTTGACTAACAGACAGACAGACAAAGGTAATTAATAAGAGTACAGTGTACACACCTCATCTAATGGGAAAACTGTCTCTTCGTTTTCTGGGTCCATCTAAACAACAAAAACCTTATTAACACAAATTAATACACAAAGAAATAAAATTAAAAAAAAAAC